GGGGGGGGGGGGGGGGCATTCCTGCTGAGATCTACAAAGCACTAGACCCAAACACCTTGCAGGCATTCCAAGACATCTTGGAAGACATTTGGTCCACAGAGGAGATACCTGATCACTTCTGTGATACCCTCATTGTGTCTTTCTACAAAAATAAGGGAAGCAAATCAGACTGCGGAAACTACAAGGGTGTCTCACTGCTGTCCATTACAAGCAAGATCTTTGCCTGCATTCTCCTGAACAGACTCGTCACTGTCTCAGAAAGGAACCTCCCAGAGACGCAGTGTGGCTTTTGGCTGGAATGTAATACAGCAGACATGATATTTGCCATGAGGCAAGTCCAGGAGAAGTGCATTGAGCAGAACAAGCCTCTTTACTCTCTCTTAATTGACCTGACAAAGGCATTTGACACTGTAAATAGGGAGGGTCTCTGGATCATCCTGAAACCTTATGGATGCCTGAGGAAATTTGTGAAGTTGATTCAGCTACTCCATGATGGAATGACAAGACAGGTTCTTTACAACAGTGATACATCAGCTGCATTTGCCATTTCCAATGGGGTAAAACAGGGTTGTGTGCTAGCTCCAGTCCTGTTCAAACTGTTCTTCACTTGCATGTTGACATATGCTGTCCAGGGTCTGAAGGAGGGAGTGTACATTAGGTACCGATTGGACGGCTCTCTGTTTGACCTTCACTGCTTGAATGCATAGACAAAGTGCCTCCATACAGTCATCCAAGAAACCCTCTTTGCTGATAACTGTGCACTCCTGGCACACAAAGACAATGACCTACAATTGATGCTGAACAAATTCTCAGGCGCTGCTATGCTTTTCGGCCTGAGTATCAGCCTAAACAAGACTGAACAAGAATCAGAGTCCAGATGCATCATCAGAATGGATGACCACCGTATGCCTCGCCAGTTGCTCTATAACGCACTGGAGTCTGGGAAGAGACCTCGAGGATGATCACACAAGCGCTACAAGGACACTGTGAAAGAAACCCTACGCCACTGTGACATCTAGCCAAGGGAACTAGAAGCTGCAGTTACTGACAGAACCCATTGGTGAGCCCTGTGCTATGAAGCCACCACTGCCTTTGAAGAGAGGCGCCACCAAAAATTGAAAGAAAACTGTGAGTGGTATCACAGAATAACACCTACAGTTTCTACAACAATGGACTTCCAGTGCCCTTATTGTGCTAGACTTTGCACTTCCAGACTGGGACTGCAGAGCCACCTCCATGTCCACAGATGAACTGCACAACAGGGTATCTTCTTCGAACACAAAGGACAACCATATATATCCAATTATTACATAGTTCCACTCAGAAATATGTCTCAGATTCAGGACCTATTTCTTATTAAAATTGGATAGAAACCAAGGATACATCTGCATGTTCCCACTAACTTAGCTCAATGTTGCCTCACAATTAGTTGTTTAAAGTTACATTTTCATGATGCAACCTTCCTGTTAGCCCATAAACTGGAAGGAAGCATGTTAATCAGCTGCTGGATTTACCCTAAATACTGAATGTCAAATGTGTGTATTGTCCCAGACACATATAAAATATGTTTTATTTCACTCTCTTTTTTTTTTTTTAGCTACAGGTTCATTCGCTCCTATTTGCACCTGTTCATATTTTTTTAAAGGTGTGCCCACAAAGATACGTTTGTCACAAATTAATGCAATTTGTCAATATATTTTGTGTATTTTTGTACATGCAAAAAACCAGGCAGTTTTGCAGTACTAATTTCCTGCTACTATATGCATATATATAACAATGTGCATTATATTATATATATATGTTCAATTTTCCTGATAAATATGTTATTATGATGTTCCATAACATACAGTATTTCCCACAATACATACATTTTGTATACACTTTGAAGAACTGCATTACAAAATGGGAAATTCATTTACAATCTTATGGACTTCCAGACACTGGTACAAAGAGGAGCGTGGGTGTGATTTCCACATAAGTAAGGAATGAGCATCATGGAATCTGTATAATTATATTGTATTGTATTATATTATTTATAGCTACTGTATATTTCTATCCCTTTGGGAGTTCACGGCAGCACATATGCACATAAAATGAGTGTCTCCCCTTATTTTAGTCTTACAAAAGAAACCCAAACCCTTGTGAGGTGGAAATTTTCAGCTGTCTCCCATGGGAACTAATTGCTACTTGAATTTGCAGAATGTATAATCCGTGGCTCAAGGGAGGGAGTGACAATGGCTTAGGTGTTGTTTTGCTCTTTTTATTACAGAGACTTCTATTTGGAACTTACTGCTTCCCTTTTAGATACTGTTTCAGGTAGGGCCAAAGAACTGTAGCCACTTCCTTTAATCTAATCATTACCCGAACAGAACAGAGATGGTTGCAATATCTGGAATGAGGGACTGCCATATCTGATGAAAAAGACTAATGAGGACAGTGTCACGTAATTTGCCCTAATTAGTTAATAATTAAATAATAATTAATGTAAGGAATTTATACTAAAATATGTGTGTGTGGTCTTTGCATCTTTGTTTCCCTTTTGAATCTTTGATAAATGATTGTAAGAGGAATTGACCAACTGACTGGTATCTGTTGCTGTAGCCTTCTTCAACCATTATACAAAACAAAGAGGGGTCTACGGAACATGGGTAATACAGCACAAATACTCTCTCTCACACACACACAGACACACATACATACTGTACAGACCATTCTTGCACACAAACCACACGTTTATTAAAATCTGAATATTTGAACTGGCAATTCTTTTTGGAATGAGGTATTAGAGCCAAATAATACAATCACCTCATAGAATACTTGCTATTCTTTCTTCTAGGATTTATTGTAAGAAGTTCTGATAATTTTAATGGCAACAAAAAGAAATATGTTTTATTAAAAATTATCCTGCAATGCTAAAGAAAACATATACTTTATATATTCTATTTATGTCTATTGGTGTAAAAAAAATTTTTTTTTACAATTTTTTTCCCACGAATGCCTGTTAACTGCACAATATTCTAGGGTGGTTTGGAAAAATCCAAAAATCTCACCCTGTTACTCACAATTTGCTTCTAGGAAGTGTATTAATAAAGGAAGTATTTACATCTATTTTGTGAAGGAAAAAAATATGAAAGGGAAGAGAACTAAAAAGGCCAATGCTGAATATTTGTTTATTAATTTTACTTGGTAGGATGCCATATTCCTTTCCCAACAGTTGCTTTTCATTTTTCCATTAGATTAACTAAGACATTTATTTCCAATAAAGTATTAATAAATCTGAAATCCTTAAAGTTCTAGACTAGCTATATTTCATGATTACTGATAGAATACTCAGTATTCTAGTGTTCTTTACCAGTACAGTAGTTGAACATGATTTGTCTGACATGGGCATGACATTAGTTCATCAATCGTTTTTAAATAAGACATTTAAATAAATATACTTACTGAAACAGGAGTATTTCCAAGAAAGACAATCAGAGGGAGAAGTGGCCAACAGGCAAACCAATTAACCATTCTTATTTTAAACAGGTTTTCTTCCTGTTTGTGAAAATGCTTTTTCTTGTTTCCAATTTTTTTTTTCTGTCTGTCAACCTAAATTGCTAAATAACAGGCTTTGCAAATTATTAACCACACTTTCAATTTTGATCACACTGAACCAGCAAGTGCAACTGCCATGGAAAGTTTCCCCCTCAGAACTCTTTTCTGAGGGATATGTTAAGGGAAAGAGTTGCCATATTTATCTAATTTATTTGTGATATTAGTTTTAATGCTAAATACTGGCTTCTAAAATGTGAGATATATCTGGACTGGGTTGCAATACTGTTCATTGGTTAATCATTATATTTACTGTTAGGTGCAGTTTGACCAAAAGTAAGTACTACTTAAATTAGTTGAGTTGTTACTTTGAAACTTGTATATCCTACCTTTTAGGATTGTTTAGACATTTAACATGGCTACTGAAGAATGAGGAATGCTATATTAATCCCACCAATTTCAGTGCAGAGATTTGCACTTTGATTGCTTTCATTCGATGAAGAACTTTATAATGGTATATGGCATACTTCATTATGGAAGTCATATTTAAGCTTTAATAGTGAATATTACTGAATTTCCTTCTACATCATTACGTAGAATATAATTTAGAATTAGAACAACTGTGGACTTTGATAGTGATATGGATGTTACCCTATTATTAAAAATGTTAACTTTATTGCATTGACAGGAGACCCTTAACAGCCTATAAAGAAGCATAACTATCCATTGAGGGAAAAACAATGTTATCTTTATAAAACAAAGAAGTTTAACAGAATACAGAAAGCAGGAGAAATACTGAATCCATAGAAAATCTAAAACTGGATAAATATAAAATTGGGTTTCATTTACATTCTCTATATCATAATCTGATCAGCACAGAGATAATCTCACTTTGAGCGGTCCTGTGCACAGAACAAGTAGTATTTCAGAGAAAACTTTCTTAGAGATATTTGGCTTCCAAGGCCATAATGATTCAGTTGCTGACTTCACTCCAGAATCATCTATCAAGATGTCTACAACCCATCTAGTGAACATTCACCATGCAATCTATATTGGTCTAGATCTCCAATGATACAACTACATTTTGTCCCTCTGGTGGAAACTATTTTAGAGAGGTATTATCATAGATTTGGAAGACCATTGTTTAGTGCAGGAACAATATACTCAAGACATTAAACATTCCCCAATATATGGCTGTCTAATATTTGCTTGAATTCATTTAGCTTTAGAAACATTGCACACATCTGGTCTAAAGGGCAACAGTTATGCACAACATATCAATGTCTCATTTAATTTGCACCTTTGGTATTAGAGTCAAGTGTTCTGTCAGCTCAACTCTCTTTGTCTTTGTGCTTGCAGTATTGGATTCCTTCACAAGTCAAGTCCTATCTTTTGGTTTAGTAGGATTTGACTTGTTAGGGAATCCAATTCTACAAGCAGAAGTGAGAGTAGATAGGTAAGGATAAAAATGGTCCTTACCTATATGTAGATATTGGTCTTGTCTTAAACTAGCAACAGAATCCCACCCAACCAGAGCCATATTTATCAGCAGCCCAGCTAAGTAAAAAAAGAAAAGAAAAGAAGTCAGTTCAAAAACCAACTTGCATCCTTCACATCCTGAAGCCAAAACCAGTATCTATCCCTGTCACTATCATATAAAATTCCCTATA